TTTAAAATAACTTACTTGTAATAAACTTCATGAGCAACAGGCAAAATAGTGAAATTTACTCAAACAGCTCTTCAGCACACAGAACTAGTAAATTAGTTCCTAAAAAAAATGAGATTTTGAAGGAAGTATATAATTTGCAGGTACTTGTTTTAATGAAACATTAAAATGATTGAACTATTAAACAGGGACAAAACAAAGCACATCTTAAAATGTGGTGGATAGCCTCAAAGCGTTTTACTGTTTCCTGCACTGTTTCTGTTGTGGTTGTTTTTCCTTAAGTGAAGATTCAGGTGCAAAAATATGAAGGGCAAGAAAGTGATAAATGGGGGGTGCACCCAGCTCAGAGAGGATTGCCAGGAGAAAAGCAGGGCTCACCCCAGCGAGTTCAGTCAGTTGGCTTTTCTTTTGCTGTCATTATGAAGCTAGCTTAATACAAAGTCTGTCTGAAATAGAGGGAGCCTATGTTGCAAGGAGCAATTCTGCTTCGTGTGGCTTCGGCAGTGTAACAAGTCAGTCCTGGTAGTATTCATGTTCTTACACATTAAATAAGGTTGAAGCTGAGTATCCACTTGTCCCCTGGTGTCTAAAAGTTAGTGTATTTGCAGCTGTGTTACACTGAGTTGTCCCCTTCCGTTCCACTTCAGTTTCCTGATTTACTGTGTAGGGAAAGTGTGTCCCTTTACCCTATGGGTGCTGCGCCAAGCAGCCTTCTCCTTGGAGATGCCCAAAAAAGCCATCTATGATATTAGGACAAAAACTCACCTGATGCCTTTATTTCTGAATATCTGTCAGTGCTGGTGTCACCCAACCCCGTTGGGAATAGGGACCATGGCTTGGCTCCTTAAGGACATCGCTTCGCTTAGGACCTCTGTTTTTGACTTGGACCTCACCCTTGGTGCCACTTGCTGAGACCTTCTCCAGCAACACAATGCCCATTTTGCCTCCCCTCACAGGTGCTGTCAGCTGGGGAGGGGACCAGCATGGGGCAAATCTGCTAGGCTTTCCTGTCAGGGTAGCTACAGAAATACTCAAAAGTAAAAATAAAAATACACAGGGAGGCATAAAAAGAAAAGACACACTTTCGCAGACAGGTCATGCCGGTCTGGCATACCTCCTCTTTCTTCTGCCCAGTCACCTGGTATTAAGTTGGCACTGCTGATTAGAAATCAATATGGACATTTCACAGGTGGTATTTTCGATTTTCAAAGTTTGGGTAGGTATCAGGTAGTTTTTTGAAGCACTGACTGAAAGAAAGAATCCTATTACTACGTTTTGATGTATTCAGTACATAACCCTGTAATTATTTCAAAAACTGCTTGTAAGTTTAATTGGCATATTCTCTCCTGTTTCTTTGCTTTATATCTTTAGAAAGTCTTTCACCAGATGAAAATAATCTCATTTTTAGTGCTGTTATTCTCATTAAGTATCTCCTCTGTGAGGTACTCATTTATTTTTGAACCAGTTGGTGAAAATGGAGGTTTTTCTAAAGGATGTGTGTAATCTTATTTTATATGCTTGCTTATTTTAATTAATTTATTACATAGGTCTAAAACAAAGTTAATGTTGAAATATTAACATGCAGCACACTCCTCTGTAAATGTTACAGTTTATGGCTGTGAAGACTAAGCTACAGTTATATCCCTAACAGTGGATTTTGGAGATGCTTTTGGAAGATGACTGTTCAAGGTCTTACTATTATGTCCTTCACATCAGATGGCGTTCAGTAACAGGCATAGGGACAGTACTGTAATTACTTTGTCCCTTATTCATCTAGTATTTTTACTACTTTTCTGGAAGTGTATCAACAGTAATGAAAGCAAATGAAATCATTATGGAAGGAGTTACACTAGTTCAAAGAATTACATCAGAGCTTTAAAAACGAAAATGAAAATAAGTAGATAAGACATTCTGTAGTTTTCTTTGTTCTGTGATTTAGATGTATATATTGCAATGATTTCATCTTTTTTTGGGATCTCATTGCTGTAACAATTTAATTGGTCTCCATCTGCCTCCTTATTATCATTATGGAGGTATATAGCCCTATCTTTCATCTGTTCAAACTCAGCAAAACTGGAAACGGATATTTTGTTAAATGTAATTCCTTTTGGTAAATTCATTTCTATCGTCATTGCCCTGTGACCTTTTCATGCCCACTAAGAACCGTTCTGAAGGCTATAGAATGTGAAAGTACAGGTTGTGCCTTTCCTTAGAAGGAAGACAATAATACCTTATCAAACAATAGAATGTTTCGTTATTGCTGATTGTTACCTGAGAAAACTTTAAGTGTAATTAAGCTAAAGTTTGTATCTTTTCATGAGAGAGATATGCCCTGAACAATTCTGTTACCAATTTTTACTAATTTTATTTTTTTACTTCCATGGCTTACATCCTGCCGAAGTAGGTTAGGCTCTAAGATTTTTTTTCCCTTTTGTCATTTTTTTCCAACTGTTTCTGTTACAAAGTGTGTCTGTAAGGACAGTGGCAGTATTGGAGATGCCAGCATCTTGATGGAGCAGCTGCCCTGCTGCTCCTTGCTTCATGGGACAGCGGCTGCTGCAAGGAAGTGTTTCCCCACAGCCTCCCAAGTCTCGTCCCATCTTCTGTCATGCCTTGTGCAGAAACCATTGGAACATGGTTTCTGTAATAAATAAACCACAGGAAGGTTGAGTGAAGTGTCCTCTAAATAGGGTGGTAATTTAAGATTACTTAGAAACTTCACTTAATACAGAACACAGCTTTGTGTTTGCTTAGCCAGGCTAATCACAGGGAGCTCATTACATCAGTGTGCTCAAACCAGCATGGTTCATGTCCTTAAAATTTCACAGGTTTCTGGATAGATCTGATTTTTCATTTACTCCTTAGTAGGGTCTTGTGTTCTTGAGAGAAGGCCTGTGCCTCTGCCAGCATGCTGCAGTTCAGTTGGAGGAAGCCTACTGGAGTTCTGTGGTGTGGAAGGCTGGACGGTTCGTGGACTTGGGCTCTGCGATGCACCAGGCTTGCGGATCAGAGATGATCCAAGCTGTGTTTCAGGAGCTACCCTGAGATAGGGTGGTAGATTTTGCCTGGGAGCTACTTTAAAAGATAAAGTGTGTGGCTTTGAAGAATTCTCAGTTTGCACTGAATTTTAGATTCATTGACATATTTTTAAATGAATTTTCGGCATTGCTGGTACAGTTTCTGATACTTTCTCATAGAGGATTACTGAAATTAGGGGTGGAGAAGACACGTTAAATCCTGTGGTTCTTCTTGCTTTAAGCTTGCCATGTGAAATATGTGAATTTTTCTCGAAGAGCCTTCTGTGAACCCTACCCATCATATGAAATGAAGAGGAATGCACAACCTTTCATCCTAAGAAGTGGTTACTGACTGAGGTCCAACTCCTGTTTTCCTGTTGATATTGCGTGGTGGCTGTAGTGTTAATGAAAGTACTCGTGGAGTAAGATATTGCTCAGGGGTTTTAAAGAATTCTGCTAGAAATGAGGAGAAAGCCAAGGAGAAATCTAAGGGAGTTCACATGGCAGACCCAAAACCAAAGTAGTATCTGTAGTGGTGCTGTTACAGTGATTGATACAAATTTTCTGATGAAACAAATGTAAATTTGATTATTTTTCACACAACAGAGTTAACTAGCTAAGCGTTTTTCTCCTCAAACTTTCAATAAAATGCTTCTAGACAACCTAAGTTTTTTTTCTGCTCATTTTCCATCTTTTTCTGTGAGTGAACAAATCCTACTCAATGTTTTTTGTGGAAATTCCATGTTTCCAGAGAGTATCAATAGATATTTGCAGATTTTGGCAGTGGGACCTAAGTTAGAAATTAGATTTTTTTAGAAAACAAGGTCAAGCATTGAGGAAGCTCTCTCACAACCTGTTTGAATTTCAAATGTCCTGATACTTGCAGCAGAAGTTTGCAGTCTGCAGATGGAGTATGAGGCTTAGAAGGTGTTTGTTAAAAAGTTCAGAAAGTGTAACTTTGAACAGGGGTGAGCTTTTGCTAATAGTTCACAAACCAAAGACAGAGCTAATTTGCCGCAAATTATTTCAGCTGCTAGACATAGCGTAGTTCTTCAGAAAGAGAATTAATGAGTCAGATTTCACATTGAACAAATAGTAAATTAGGTGCCAGGCCCCAGATTTAAAGATTGCTGGGTTTGTAAGAAGTGGAAAGGAAGAAGTTGGTAGTAGTCACAGCTGGCTGCTAGAAACATTTGCAGTTCAGTGCAACTGATGCTGTCGTTGTGGCAGTGACAAGCAGTGGGTCAAAGCCAGGGGTCAGTGGCAACTGTTACATACTTCTGTTGCTTGTGCAGATTCTTTGGGATAAACTCTTGTCACAGAAGAGGATGTCCGAAACCGCTATTTCTGAAGATAGGTATTATCTCCTCTCCTTTCACTGTTCTGAAACAGAATCCAGTAAAATACAGTCTTGCAAAGTAGTAGTTTTCTCTGGTGCATATGTGCTGCTCGACATGTAAATAAATTTTACAAATGCAAATCAAAATTTAGTGAAACTGAGTAGAAACAGACAAGGAATATTTGGATGTCCTGAGTCAGACCATGCAAATGAAAGACAGTTTCAAATTAACATCAGCATGTTATCCAATATTAAGAAAAAACAGTACTTAAACGTATTTATTATAGGCATGCACTCATGTTCTGCCTTCCCCAGAACAAATGTTTTTCCTAGGTGTACTTCATGTCAATTTATTTGCAGTTTGAAGTTTTTAATTTCTCTCCAATACGGCCTCATTACTAGCCTCCTAGTGTATAAAACGGGTATTATTTTTTAAGGTTTTTCCTTGCTTTTACTAGTGTATATTAGTATATTAGTGTATATTACCAGCATTGTCATCAGCTGTCCACATTGCTAGTGTGCTGAGGGAAGCATTTGATACTAGTCTGTGAAGTGCATTTGAAGAAATGTCTGGTGATACAAGCATTAAACCACTTCTAGCATTTTCAGATAAAATCTTTTTATTTATTTTTTAATTTTTTTTTAGTACATGCATCATGAATGAATCTGCTTCTAGTGGAAATGGTCAAGAGTTTGATGTATTTAGTGCTATGGACTGGAAGGATGGCATAGGTACTTTGCCAGGAAGTGACCTAAAGGTAAGATACGTAATTTTTTTAATAAGTGAAATAAAAATGTTAAATGCTGAAAGAATGCATTTCACAAGCTGGTGTGTAGGTATCTGCTTTTATGAATAAACCATGAATCTGCAACTCTTAGTTAAGAGACTGTAGCCTGTTAACTTTTAGCTCTGGAGTTTCTTGATTCAGTTTCTGGTGCTGGCACAGACAGCCGTCATCCCCGTAGGAAGGCATAAATTAGCACTGCCTCACTATATAGACAGAAGCAATCAAGTGCACAAAATCCAAAAGAAATCTCAAAAGTTAAGTGTGAAAATTCTGTCCATTTAGAGCATTATATTACCTTATCACTAAGAATCTTTACACTGTCGATGCTCACAGTCTCATATTCTTAGTTCTTTTTTATTTCTAAAAAATTTTTACTATGCTTTTGTCATGTAGGTGCCTAGAAAAATTAATAAAGTGAGTGCTTCTGAGCTTGGTATAGTTTAGAAATTTGAATGATATTGGAATAGTACTTTTAATTACATTTTTCACACTGGATGTATTTACTGAAGTAAATCATAACAATTTTACTTTGTTTTCAGAGTATTTTATGTATTTTTTTATTTATCTGATACTTTTTACTGTGTCATCAGATGTACTCTGCTGTGTTAGCTAAAAATACAGTTTCGATATTAGAGATTTTTCTTGCACCTATTTCCTGTTGATTATAATCAATATTTTCATATCATTCAACTTAGAATAACACTGATGAGGTTTTCTCATAGTCTATTTTTTTAAAAGGAATCTCAGAAGAAAATGTGTATTTTTTGAAAGAACTTTATGGCTGATGCCTGATACAGTGTCTGTTGTTGAAGTAAAGAGCCAAATAATGTATGAAATTCAGGGCATACATTTTGCAAGTGTTTTGTGGTTTATTTTCTTTTTTCTTTTTTTTTTTTTTAAATCACAGAACCATAGAATAGATTCACAGAATAATTTTCTTTGGAAAGGACCTCAGAATACCACCTCTGAGCACCCCAGACCTCAGGCTGACTTAGATGAGGTGGCTCAGGGCCTTGTCCAGTATGGATTTGGTTATTTACAGGGTTGGAGATACCACAGTTTCTGTTGACAACCTGTTAAGCATTTGACCACCCTCATAGTGATTTTTTCCTTTTATGGATACTTCATTGGAATTTCCCCTTTTGCAGCTGGTGCTTGTTGCTTCTTGTCCTTCTACTGTGCACATCTGAGAACCTGGCTCCATCCCCTCTATGTCCTTCCTGAAGACAGCAGTAAAATCTCTCCTTCTGATCTTAAGACTGAGCAAACAAGTTTGCTCATCTTCTCCTTACATGTCATCCATCTGCTACAGCCCCTGCTTGTTTTGGTGGACATCCACTGGACTTGCTCCAGTATGTCAGTGTCTTTCTTGTACTGGACACAGTAGTCCGTATATGGTCTTATCAGTTTAAATAGAGGGGAATAATCAGTTTCCTCGACCTGCTGGCTCCCCTCTTGCTAAAGCAGCCCTGGAAGCTCATGGCCGCCTTTGCTGCCAGGGCACATTGCTGACTCATGTTCAACTCTTCTTCTAGATCGTCGTCTGAAAAGCTGTTTTCCAATAGTCAGCCCCAGGGCTCTGCTTGTGCACACAGCGGTTCTGTCCCAGGTGCGGGGCCTTGCATATGATTTTGTAGACCTTCATGAGATCTTGTTAGCCCATTTCTTCAGCATGTCGAGGTCTTTCTGGATAGCAACCCTCCCTTTCATTATCAGACACTCCCTCCAATTTGGTAATTTGCTTTTGCTGCCTGTACACGTATAGAAGCCTTTCTTGTTGCCTTTACTAGTTTCTTTTCCAGCTGAGCTTTGGGTTTTCTCATTCCATCATTGTACACTACAGCAACATCACCATATACCTACTTTCTCAATGTAACATTTCCCCTGATTCACCTTCTGCTTACTTCCTTTTCCATTTGAACTAAGTCAGGAGTCCCTAGTTCATTCATATTGGCCTGCATCCACATTTTCTTAACTTCTTGCACATTGGCATTCATCATTCTCCTGATGTGAAGTCCCTGGAGAGATACTCAGGTTTCCTGGGCCTATTCACCCTTCAAAGCAGTCTCTTGTATAATCCTGCCAAGCAGATCTCTGAACAAGCCAAAATCTGCCTCTCCTGAAGTCCAGTGATGCTGTTTCAGTATTTGTTTTGCTTGCTTCTTGCAGAATTTCAGACTTCACCATCTCATGGTTGCTGCTGCCAAAGCTATTATCAGCTTCTACATCCCTTACCAGTTCTGTATTTTTCTAAAAAAATCCAGGCTTTTAAAATTCCTTTCAATTTTAATAAGCAACATTGTGTGAAAGGAAAACATGATATTGAAATGTTTAAGGAATACAGAAGGGAGCAATGCAGTAAAATATAATAATCTCATATAAATCACTGGCACGTGCTTTGTTCAGTTCTGGTTACCCTATGTCAACAGAAACAAAACCAAAGCAAAGGTTGGGTCATTAGTAGAGGAATAGAAAAGCTTCCATGCAAAGAGAGGGAAGGGACTGGGAAGTGTAGCTGAGGGTAACTTCAAAAAATCATGTAAGAAGGTTCTTTATGTCCTGTTCAAGAAAGCATGAGCTTCATCTTAAGGTTTCTCTTCTGGGGTTTTTTAGTTTTGTGGTTGGTTTTTTTTCTTATTTGGAAGCAAACAAGTATTTGATTTTTTGACAGAGATTATTTCTTTGGTCCATACATTCATTAGGAAAGACACAGACAGAGGTGCAATGGTAATGTACCCAGACTGATGAAAGATACAGAGAGAATTGATCAGGCAGCTTATTCTTGTCTTTTTTGTTGCTTTTTTTTTTAAAAAAAAATACAGAAGCCTGACTGAAAGAAGAATATTTTATAACAATGCAGAATTAGTCTGAGGAGATCACTGGACCAGGGAATGTCAAGACTATGTGAAAGACTAGGCATTTATATAGGTACCAAAACAGTTTGAGCTGTTAGAATAGTAAGGATTTTTAAGCTCTTGAGATAATTGTAACAACTATTTTTTCAGGGCTGCTGCTACATACTGATGCTTAAAAGGGTGACTTATCCCTTGAAACTGTAAATGTGATTGTGGAAGATATGTTACGCTTTTTGTGGAATTCTCAGAATAGTATTAATGTAGATAGTTTGCCTGACTTGTCCGTATAACAGAGTATTTTAATACTGTGTCCTGAATCTAAAGAAAATGGCCTTACATAGCAGTTACTTCTTGTAAGCTTTCATGTGTCTTTCAAGAATGATAATAGACTTGTTCCACTAAAGATATCAAACCATTGCTGTGTATTTACGTTGAAATACAGTTGAAAAATCTAGTGAAAACACTATAGTAGTAAGAAGCACAAATCCAATGATTCTATTTTTATAGCTTGGTAATAGAGTGCCTGGGTTTTTTATAATAAATAATGAGCAATAGCTGAACTATTCCTTGCAGACAATTTATTGCTTATATTCTCACATTTAGTCTTTTCATGAAACGTTGGGGAAAATTGTCTTTGAACACTCACATTTGGTGAACTGTATTGTATGAGCATGCTTTAAGTTAAACATATACCAAAATGTTGAAATGCTGCTTTTTAATAGAGAAGTTTTGTGGAGTTACCTGCTTGAAGTCCGGATTTTCAGTCATGTAACTCATATGGCATTTGCTTGTCTTTACTGCTTGCATGCTGAAGTTTCATGTTTATTTTTACATATTAGTTTTTTAAGAAATATCTTGTGTGCTATATTAATATCCAGCCTCCTCAGATTATCAGGCAGGTATAACTGAGCAGCCATTCTTTTTCAGAACCACTTCATTTTTGTGAATATAAGTTCCTCTATGAATAAGAGCTGGTAAAAAACTATTGTAAGTAGTGTAAAATGCTTGAAACATTTACAAATAACTTTTCTCAATATTCTCGTATCATTGCTTAAATTTACCTTTCTTTATGATACAGAAGAACAACTAAATCAGAAATGGGAAATTGTATTTCTCTTTGTTACAAAGTCCTGTGGGCCGTTTCATGCCTACCAGACATAGGTAGATATGAGATAGGAGGTATGATATATATATGTATATATATATATATATATACACACACACGATATATAGATAGATAGATAGATAGATAGATAGATAGATAGATAGATACACGAGATAGATCTAGATATATAGATAGATATATAGATATGATATAGATATGAGATAGGCTGCATGCAGGAGCAGTCACCTCCCAGTCTAATGAAAACAAGGGAGGCCAGTCAGATACCAAGCCTCTGTCCTCAGCCGTGCCATTGGTCTCTAATGTCTACATCTGTTTTCACACTGGTAAAATGCTGAAAATGTTCTTTTCACTATGAATTTGGGCAGTGTTAATTGTTAGATTTTTGTCACCTGTAGTTGGAGAAGGTGGTGGAAATACATTCTCATACAGATTTTGTTAAAACTCTCTAGCAAAAATAGTCATAAAATAATTAATACTTCTTGAACACTGCCTTGAGCATACTGGGTGACAGATAAATAGTGAGTGGTTGTGGAAAATGCTAGAATTTCAAATTATACAGGGGATAGGGAGAATTAAAAATTGTTTAGTATGATACACTGAAGACTGAGAACAAAAATTTTAGCATTGTTTATTAGTTCTTTCAAGATGTTTAAATAAAACAGAAAACTAAATTCCAGTAGAGTTTAAAATAGTTTACAAATTACAGAATGCCTTCATGTGGCAGGCTAAGTAATGTATGCTCATCTGAAAAACATCAGTGCTTACCAGTTACTCTGCATGTTATGAATGTAAATGTGAAATACTCCTCTTTTTTTTTCTTTTTTTTTTTTAAATCTCTGTGCTGAGTGCAGACAGTAACACCATCACTTCAAGATTTAAATGTACTCATTAAATTGGAAAAGCTGTAATAATTTACAGTCACTTCCTACTGCAGTGACAGAAGTTTATGAAGTACTTCGTAATGAGTTTTCTAGTGCTTGTGTTGGGAA